TTTACAAATGAGAAGGCGGCAAATTATTTTCCCCTCTGCCTCTGTGTGACGGCAGCAACTGTTCTGTACGCAGCAGGGAAAGATCCAGCAAAGATACAGTGATTAGTAACAACAGTGATCTGTATCGGAGGTGGTGTTGTGTGTATGAAAGCCAAAGGCAAAGGACACGATGGAAAAGAGCTCAGACAATACCATGGCTTTCTCAAAGACCGGAATAATAGTGGTATTGATGGGTTTGGAAGAGAGGACACAAGATTTCTGTAAGATCAAGAAAATAAGGTGCTGGAGCAGAAAACAAAGGATTCCAAAGGCTGAACAGCAAAATGGATGAATGAAATGTTCATGCGGAGCACGACTCAATATTCTGAAACTGACCATTCATTCTAAAATACCACACTTCACATAACTATGGTGCTTTCCATTGCTTGTGCTAGAGCTATTTTTGAGTCCCTGGAATATATAAAAATGAGTACAACTTCTCATAAGTTTGCACATCTCCTGTTTCATAATTCAGGTTGTGACATGAGTGTCCATTCATTTCTAGGCTGCTGGGGTTTTTTTGTTGTTTTTTTGAACAACTACCGCCTTTCTGTACCAAGTACCTGTATTTTTCCACTCATATTTAACATAATATTACATGATATTGCTGTGCTCTACATTATACTATTTTAAATTACCTGTAACATAGCAATGCTTGATATACAAATAATATTATTTCATATAAAAGTGGAATTCAGCCAAAACCTTGATCATTTACTGACAGTCTTACCATAGAAAAATACCTTTGAGCCCTAGCAGACAAGGAGAAAATAAACAAAACCAAGAATATAAGCAAATTAGAAAGGTGAAAGATACATATGCTTTAGCACCAGGTTCTGTTTTCATCTATTTTCATCTAGTTCATTTCATTTACAAAAAAAATAAAAATAAAAAATTATAGAACTATCTATTGTATTTTCCTGTGCAAGACAATCAAGACAGAAAACAACAGAAGAAGAGATCACTTGCCTGCCACTTCAGCATATAGAAATGCATACTAGCAACACATCTTTTTCAATATTTAATTGATGGGACAGTCACTAGCTAAACATATGTAGAATCACATGCATGGAAGCATCAAAATTCATAGATGAACATACAGGAATACTAACGGTCACATTAGTAATTCATTAAAAGATGAACAAGCAAGTACATACCATACCTGCAAACCCAGTATATAGACCAATGTCTTGTTTGTGATAGAAAAGTGGCCTAATACTTGTGTCACCTGCACTCTTGGAATGGAGGAATAAAACGGTACAAACAGAGCAAACACAGGACCCAAGCTGCAAAAAGAAAGATAGAGATGATTAACGATAACGATAGTAGCAACAGTAGTGTAAAACAATCAAAAGTAATGAATCCTAAGTACATAACAAACAAAATGTAGTACCACCTTGCAAGCAAAGGTCTTTTTTGGGAACCAATGATTAGGTAACTTGTGGCGTTCAGGATAACAGGTTCATTACCAAATAACGAACCACTAGTCTTTGGCAAATATCCTTGCAAAGAAGAAAGAGGTGACAAAAAGTATTTTATTTCCAAATGTTTAGGACTGGAGGCAGGAGAGAAGGCGGCAACATATTCAGTCTAACAGCAGACTGTTTCTATAAAATACAGCACACAAGGAACAGCAGCAGTCTCCCACAACAGAACAAAACTTCTTTGATCCAAGCAGACAAAGCTTAAGGATTATATATATCCCAAAAGGTCATAGAAACCACTTCACTTATGAAGTTAAGCTTCATATTCACCCAGGTTTAGGTGTTAGAGGATTGTCAACAGCCTGCAGTATCTAAGATGGGAATACCAACAATTTGATTTAATTTCCCTTTCCCAGTGATTTCCATGGCCCTACAAATAACTTTCTTTAGGGTTGTCACCTTAATCACAGCACAAGGTGTTTATTAAGTTTCTAAAACCTTGTTGAAAGCAGTTTTGTAGAATTTAGAACTCAAGCATCTATTACAATGACCAGATACCTAGGTTGAAGTTGTGAACATAACCAGTGCACTTCTTATGCCCAGACACAAACCCTGTGTTCCTCACGATAAAACATCCAGAAAACTAAACCACAGACTAAAAACAACAGGAGAGGCCACAGCAGAACCAATGCCAAGGCATGGATATAATAGATTCTAGAAGAAAAATACTTCCTAGGATGGAGAAGGGGAAGAAAAGAAGCTCACTTCAGGCAGACACGACCTGCTCTACTGGTGGAGCTGCGGTGGCGGTGACCTCCAGGCAGCAAGCTGCGGGCAGCAGGCAGGGGGAGGCTATCAGCAAAGAGAACATCTCCCCCCGCTGAACCCTCGCCCGTGGTCCTGTGCTGCCTTGTGTCCGACAGGCGCGGAAGGCTGCACGGGGTAATTTTTCACTGCTCACCAGCTTATCAAAACTTTCAAGATTTGCAGTTTCCACGGGCCTTTACGTGAATGGGATCTTATTCTACCCAGCCAGAATTCTGCAAACTGGGACCTAAATAACTCAAAGCGTTCACTCAAAAATACATTTCCCTTCAGGAGGAGCTACTGATAGGAATAATACCATGTGAAATGATGGTCTGAATATTAAAACTTACACTTCCTGAATAACTGCCAAATGCAACACCCACAGCTATGAAAAAAAAACCCAACAAACTTTGAATATTATTTTTACTCATTTAATGGGCTGTGGCTTAAGAGCATTTCATTATCATTTCGTTTGTTATATTTGAAATTCAGCTTGCTGAAAAGCTTCCTCTCTGAGGACTTAAATACAGTTTAATTATAGAAATATTTTTAGTATCATCTGTTTAACACACAGTCAGATGCACTTGAATGTATAGAGAATGCTAACTCAGGAACTACTGAAAAATGTTCAATTTTGCATAAAATCCTTCTTACATAAACAAAAAACACCTGCATGAACACACACAACACATTCCTAAAATAAATTCACATTATTTAAGTTGTAGGAGTTGACAGGTCCAGCTAGAAGAGTGCCACATACAAAAATAATTCTTCATCAGAAGTGTTCCATTGTAGACAATATTCACTGAAGTAAATCAGGTTTTGTATGTGAAGAAACAAGAAAAAACAAAGAAAAAGGTTCTTTTCCCCTCTTAGAAAAGGAATTTTAAATTATTTCTTTCTACTCTTACCAAATGACCCGAGGGAGTACCAAAATTGTAGCATGCTTTTCAGGTTTTATTCCTCCTGTGATAAACAGTGACTCAGACACAGATTTCACACGCAAGAGTGCACTCAATCATAAGATGGGAAACTACAAAAAGGAATTTCCCATGACTGCAAGTGTGTTTTAAAAAGAGATTAGAGAATGTTAAAAGGTTCTTTAAATGTTAATATTCACCATTAATGTCAACAGAGACCATAGAAAGCACCACTCCAGTCCAGGGTAGTGATCCGTGTAATTCAAAGACCAGTATCTGACACTGCTCGGTACCTGACAATCTAGAAAAACTAGAGGAAACCTACTGATGGACCTTTTCTCCTAAAACAGTAAGTTCGTAGGCACCACAGACATATGCCTCCAAAGACATTAGCTTTGTTTTTTTAGGCAGAGTTCACATAAATAGGTATTACACAAATATCCATTCAGGTATCTTTTTTAAAATGTCAAAACTAGTGCCCTTCAAAATACTTTGTGAAACTCACTCCTACAGGTGAATCCACTGTATGAAAGTGATTCCTACTAATTTAAAACTTTCACCCTCAACTTTCATTATACAATTCTGTACTGCTACTTGGAAAATTTCAATTCATCTTTTCTCTTGCCTTCAGAATTTTCTATGTATTACTCATGCCTTGTTTTAGAGTACCTATATGGAGATGTTGCTCATCTACAGTGGGTCCTTCAGAGGAGTTATCTATGAAACAATACTAGAGTATGACTGACACATCAACGGGCAGCAAAAGGGTGGCTGAGGAAAATGTAGACCCACTGGTTGGTGGAAAAGGGGACCTAGTGACAAAGGACATGAAAAAAGACAAGGTACTCTTTGCCTTTTTTGCCTCAGTTTTCATTGGTTACTTTTTCCCCTCAGGCCTCCCGGGGCCCTGAGCCTCCTGCAGGACTGGAGCAACAAGTGCTGTAAAGGAAGACAGTTACGAAGCTCTTGAGCCCAACTGGCCACACAGGAGTCAACGGGATGGGATGCACCTCAGGGTGCTGAAGGAGACGGCTGTTCTTGCTATCACTGAAACATCATGGTGATCAGGGCAGGTTCCTGATGGCTGGAAAAACACAAATGTCACACTCATGTTCAAAGAGGGCAAGAAGATGATTCAGGTAGTTACAAGCCTCACCTCTGTCCCTGGGCAAGTTATACAGCAAATTTCCTACATGCCATTTCCAGTCACATGATGGACAAGGTGATTCCTAACAGCCCCTATGGATTTACCAAGGGTGACTCTGGTGCTGTGGACAAGGAAGGGGAAGGCAGCAAATGCTGCATGCTCTGACTTTAGGACAGCCTTTGAGTCAGTCTCCTCTTGTGTCCTTGAAGAAAAACTGGGGAGATGAGGACTGGCTGGATAAGCAGACTTGAGGGAAACTGGCTGCACTGCCGGGACTCAAAGGGTTCTGACCAGCAGTATGAAGTCCAAGCAGAAGCTAGTTACTGGCAGTTTCCCTCAGGGATTCACACTGGGGCCAACACTATTTACCATCTTTATTAACGACCTGGATGATGGGACAGAGCGCACTCTCAGCAAGTGGGTGAATGACATCAAATTGGAGGGGGCAGTCAATGCTTCGGAGAGCAGGGCTACACTCACATACTCCTTGATGGGCTGGAGAAATGGGCTGACAGGAACTTTCGGGCATTCAAGAAAAGCAACGGTGGAGCCTTCCACCTGGGTCGGAGAAACCCTGTGCAATGGTATAGACTGGCTAGAAAACAGACTTGCAGGCAAGGAGCTGGAGAATCCTTTGAATGTTAGTCAGCAGTTCGCCCTTGCAGGAAAGGCCAACTGCAAACAGGGCTTCATTATCAAGAGAGTAGTCACCAGGCCAAAAGAAGTGATTGCTCAGCACTTCTGAGCCTGAACCTGAATCATTGTGTCCACTTTTGGGCTCCTCACTTCAAGAAAGGCATTGACACACTGGAGCAAGTCCAGCTGTGGGTAATGATGGTCCAGTACCATACCAGGTTGCCCAGAGTTAGAATCTACATCCTCAGTTACAGCCTGGACACACGGCCCTAAGTAACCTGTTCTTGTTGGACATACTTTGAACCAGGGTTGAACTAGATGACTGCCAGAGGTCCTGTCAAACCTAGGCTACTCTCTTATTCTGTGAATAATCAAAGCCTTGTTACCAAAGTTCATAATCACTAGACGGACTTCTGTTCCTATATTTCACGAGACAGGTACAAACATCCATCCATGTGCTGTAAATAAAAGGACTCGTTCTTAACTCTTCTAATTAACTGTTTGGTAACATACAGTCAGATTCCACACCTACAAGTAGAAAACACTCTTATTGAAGGACTACTTCAGTTCTCTCTTTTCCTCTTATTTTTGCTTTTCCCCTCATCCCTTTTATCCTCCTTTCCTCTACTTTCTCTCCTTTTCCAGAGACATTCATCCCAGACCTTTGTTCACTATACTGTGAGAATATCAAGAATATCCTTTCAAGTGCCATGATTAACTTCTAGAAACTTGAGAAGAAGGGCCATAGACACAAATACATGCTGACTCTAAATGGAGTTTATGCCCACTTCATGTTTGGGAAGTTTACTTCAGTCATGTGGGTTAGAAAATAATATTTTCAAACCAGAACTCTAAAACCTGAAAGATTAAATGCTAGAGTTTGAACATTATATGGAGACCATGTCCATCCCAAAGGTGCACTGTAATAGCAGGTTCTACAACAATTATATCCTCATTTCAAAGCGCATGTTAAATTTCAACTTTTGCAGTGAAAAAGAAGCACAGCAGACCAGATGGGAACATTCTACATCATATGAAGTGACAAGATTGGTTTTGCACAGAGAAAAAAAAAACATCTGGAAGAAACAATAACCTTGAAAAAAACAAACCAGAGATGTAGAAACTCCTGGTAGAGAAGAAAGAATCAGGGGCAAGCACTTCTCATAAGAGAAACCTGCTACTTAAAGTTTAAAAGGGCTAATATTAAATGCTGATTAAAATAAAACATTTTAACATTAGTAAATATATGCACAAAATACAGAAAAAAAAATGGTGCCAGAAATACATGAAGAAACGGGTAGAAAGCTAAATGATACTTCTGCAAAAATATCTGCTGTTGTCAATGGAAGTTC